TCATTTCAACAATTTGCAAACGTTGCTCTGGCGTAAGTTTATTCACAAATGGAATTTTAGATCCAATTCAGCAATAGCAGCTCAAAGTTGTGAAGCTCTGAAATAACACTCGTTATATGAAAACTCCTCAGCATGATATCACATTTAAATGATCTTATGAATCTGATCTTGAATCGACTATCATCTATAATGAAAATATAAATTATCATTCATATGAAACTGATTGTAAAATATGCTAAAAATGTCAAAGATATGATATTATGATATATATGTATATATTATCAAATCTAAAGCTCGATAACATTTTTAATCGGTTTGAATGAAAAAAATGTCAAACTAGATCACGTAATAAAAGATGAAGTTGAAGATGAAGATCAGTAGAGAAATAGAGCTAAAACAACTTGAATGTTGTGCCGAATCAAGAAAATATATTCTTGTGTATATAAACAAGCCAGCTTTTGTCAGTTATATAGATATGAAGAAACTGAACTTGCATTTTTTATGGTATTCACATGACAACCAAAAACGGAACTGATTAAAATGTAGGTAGAGTGCCTGAATGAGAGCAATAGCTGAAGAGAAAATCCAGTCAAATGAGATATTATTATACTATCTGTGCTTCTATTGTGAGGCTCGATCCGTATGGTATTACGTATTCAAATGACCCACCTACGCTGCGCTGACAGAGAGACAGAGAGCATCTAGCGTAAGCTGCAATTTTGGATGACTCAGTGCCATATCGTGTCTCGATTGTTGACCTCCAGCTCATTCAAACAGTAGAGCTTGTGTGCGCTGGGACTTAACTCAGATCGAGAAGCGTGAAATCGCACACGATCGCGCAGGCTAGTTCATGAGCGAATCACCAAATCTTAAAAAACAAAAAAAAGTTTTCCTTAAACTATTTCTATGAGTTCATCATTAGCATGCAAATCTTATAATATATTATAATTCTTGGGCCTAGTCTGGTCATCCTATAATATAAAAATAAAAAAGCATCTTTATATATACATACGAAGTTATTCATGAGCCCACCGCACCAGCAACTTTTCATTTTAAACAACATTTTCTTTACAACAATTTTCATAAGTTCATCAGATTGCAGATTGGAATTTGATATATACTAATATAATATAAATATCCGCCATAGTATTAGCTTTGTCTGATCACCCCATCAAACTATAATATAACCTATATATGTATATATGGCTACAAAATGATAATGGAACTGGAAATTTCCCGTTCATGTTTAYATTAATATTTTTCATGGTTTTTTCAGGAATCAAAACAAACAAAAAATCCCTGAAAATAATTCTCATTTTCAAATAACTATATATTACCTATGAATCGTGATGTTTATGCCAAAATATTTGTGAAT